TATATATATATTATTTATATATTTTTTTATTTTTTTATTTTTATTTTTTTCTATAAGGTCCATAGCACAGAGGAATAAGATGTATCTGGCTTTGGTAACTTCTTAATAGGATCAATGTATTGTTAATGTTGGTCTTTTTATGGGATTTGTTGACAATAGGAACATTTTAGAATATCACTAGTCTTATGATTTGATCCTGGAACTGATTTTCCAGACATTTTACAATATACATCAATACTGCAATATACAATTGAAACCTAGGTAGAATATGTTATCCATATTGCCCACTCGTACTAATCAGACGTAACATTTCATTAAGACTAATTAATTTTTCTCGCACAAACACTAAGCGCGTATTGGTAAAGTTACCTCACTCTGACCTTATTTCAGCGTAGTCTATGTGTGTTTTCTGCGAGCAAAGAGTTAAACCTCTGATCCTGTAGGACTTGCAGTGCCTGCAGATGGTGTCGGGGTTCAGACAGACACCCTAGGGTCCATATTACTGGTCCTCTCTTAGACATTTCCGCTGTGCTGTTGTCAGTATGTCTGTCACACTACAGTTGCACTGATTAGGAGAATGAACTGTCTGTGCTTTTGTTCTCTAATAAAGCAACACAGACACCTTTATTGCCGTCTACAGTGTGTTAATGAAACAAGAGAAAGGTAACTTATAACTTAGTATCACTGCTTACATATTATTTCTTTTGCTTTATTCCTGTGCTATTTTAACATGACACAGAAATGATAATCAGGTGCTGAGAGACACATTAAGCAGCAAGTTAGTGATCTGAATCTGCAGTAAAGTGGGTCAGGAGAGACAAGTTAGTTCAGTTACACTGTCTTTGTTTTTGCCTGACTTGGAGGTCAGATAATGTAGGAATTGCTGTGGCATGTGCCATTAGACGGAGAAGGAACAAAATATTCCTACAAGCTATTCTGATATGCCACAATAGATACAAATGATGCGGATGTTTAAGTCTCATCGGGTGGGTTCGGTTAGGTTAGTAATAATTATGTCTCTAAATCTGTTTCCACTCATAGTCTAACATTTAAGGATTTAAGAGCTTATGATCACAAAGTGGCTGGTTTGTAGGTGCCTCACCTGCAAGGTGCACCCAAAGACTCCAATCATAAGCATAGCAATGCACAGGTACTCTGAGAAAACGTCCCACCACGGTTTCAGGACCCGGAACTTTGAGTTCTGCTCTGTGCCGAGGTTTCTGAATTCACCCACTGGGATCATCCTGGCTGCTGCTCCACACTGATGAAAGAGAAAAGAGTGACTGTGTGAACACTGAGGCTAAAACGGGCTTTCAACACAGTGCAGTCTCTGGAGAACATCTTGTGAAATGTTTTAAAGTTATATGACACAAAAAGACAGAATATACAATACTGTTTGGTTTCACTGTGCAGATGCTGACTGCAAGCTTTACGTATCTGTGGCCTTGAATGAATGGGCAGTCCGCTCCTTTTATTGTAGGTGGATCAAAGTGGATAAACTAGTTTGACAACAAAAAGTAATTCTCTTTCAGGGAAGGCGTTGAGGGGATTTTAAGCTACTTTTTCCTGATAGATTCGTTTTTTGACTAATAACATTAACAAATGTTCAACCCCTGTAATAACACATTAAAATGGACCAGTTAGCCTTTTTACTCTATGATGTGGATCGTGACAATTAACACAGGTAAACAAACAAACAAACCACTGCAGCAGACCAAACCTAACTTTTTGAGCGGTTTCTATCTTCTTTCTAATTCAAATTTGAATTAGAAGAGCTTCAACATCACATGACCTGTCCTGTACTATAACTGCGGAATCACACAAACCTTCAGTGTCCCATGTTAAAATAAACTTAATCAACTTTTACCAATTCTAAATGCTTCCAGTTTGTCCATTAAGTATCAGCATATACAGTGTTGGTACGAATGTGGCGTATTCCGCTTTAACCAGGTGAGTTTCACTTACCTGCGTCCTCAGAGGATCCACTGGTATCCGGACGGGCTCCGAAGCCTTTTTTCATCGTTAAAGTCGAGCTCACCGGAGTCAAGTTAGAGAGAAACAACACAAGACATCCGGACCCGATTTTCAAAATAAACCCATCTTCAAAGAGCCAGTTCAACATGTTTAAGGCTAACTTCACAAACGATAGACAGAAGACTGAAAGTGTCCTACTTTAAGTAATATATTCATTATTATATATTTAATTCCTCAGTATCTTTTCACAGATATTATACCTTGTTGCAGTGCTGTTGGTGTAACTCTTTTACTCTGCTGTCCTTCAAAAACTTTAACTACATATTTTGAAAAGTTACAGCATTTTCTTTTTTTGTTAGTATTTTATTCTATTTTCCCCCCATTGTCATTTGTTTGTCTATGATAAAAAATAAAACCCAAAACTTAACATAAGACACACACTGACCAGATATGATCAGATACAGTGTAGACCATAGTATTTGTTTTTCACTTTATCTTATCAAATCAAAAAGCTAATGTACTGTAAGGTATGGTATAAGTAATGCTTAGGGCCTCTTATAATTGTATTATTGAGTCATGAAGGTATTGCCTGCTGAACTTAGTGATATAGGTCTGTAACATTAATGGACTTTAATGTAAAGCATCCATCTATAATAGATTAAAAAGACATGTTTCCTGCTGGTCACAGTTACAACAGCTCAAACATTTTTTTGTTCCTTTGTTCAGAGCTGCTGTGGCCTTTCCGTGTTTGACAAGTACAAGCCTTGATCCTCTTGTAAGCCCACATAATCAGGGAAGTTTTCCTCTTGGATAATATAATAATGGACTATCTCATCCACCTGCCAGGTTAAGCAAGGAAATGAGATGTGTTGCCAGCGATCATGGGTGGTCGATTAATGGCACACTTGCCACAGGTTTAGACTGACTGGATAACAGACACCAGAGAAAAAATTTGACTATTGGCATCAATAGTGAAACCTAACTTGGTAACACTCAGTTTTTCAATTTAAAAAAAAAAAAAGATGATATTTGATACAGTGAACAGTTTTTGTTCAGTATAAAAGAGCTTTAGCTCCCCCTAGTGGCCACCACTGCTTTGAACACCTGCATAACCTTTAATGTATCAGCAAAATGTCAGGTCAGAACTAATAAAACACATGACCCCAGCATTACAATAAACATATATTTTACTTTACAATGTATTATTGTACAGGGTATTTTTTTGCTGGAAAAAAAAATGTACAAAGCAGACCTTAAATATTCTAATTTCCATTCCAACTACTGACAGACAGGAAAAAAAGTCCCTTTCAGAGTGAAGCAAATTTTTTACAAACATCCAAAATTAGCATTAACAGGCATTCCTACTTAATTACAATGCATGCTAGTTATTCAAAAACACAACACCAGAGTCCAATTCAATACAAAGCTGATGTCAGTTTAGAGGAACGAGAAAACCAAAAGAATCTGAACAAATAAATAAAAAAGTGAGCTCTGAAATTCTGTACAAGACTTAGAATATCAATGTACAAAACATCACTTAAAAACCTTTGTAGCTTAAATTGCTGTTACAAATACACTTCTTTAAGCAAGTTTTTTTTTTGTCATTAGCATACACTATCTGAACACTAATGCACAAACATGGTCACTTCTGTTTCTGAGGTCTCGTGGAAGTGAAAAACCAAGAAGTCAACTGTAAGGGGAGGTTCTCAATTGTGTCAGTAATTAGTGTTTTTATAAAACACATTCAGTGAGATGTTTGAAGTTAAATGCTACAGTATTCCCTTTCCTCTAAACACAGTCAGAACTGGTTTCTTCATTCTCTTGGCACTCCACATACCAAATATACTGGACCAGACTCTCTGGTAGCCTTACAAGAGGCAACACTCAATAATCTGCCAACACCTTTTCCAAAAAAATCACATTTTAATGAACATAGTGGCTATTAGAGAGAGGGCACTTTTGTTACTATGCAGTTACTGTAAGGTCCTGCTTCTCTTGTACCAGCACTTGATTTTGTGACTTTGGGCCTCATGCGAGAACCACTGATGTGAAGAGATGAAATCCTAAAATTGAGGTATGAGTGATTTAAGAGAATGTGTGGCAATGACTTTCTCATGTACAAACAAAAGTCAGGGGTGGTCCAGGCCTGTCGCATGAGTCATGTACAGATACACTGCCTCTCTACAGGGAGAGAATATATATGTGTTTGAAGATGCCTTACTCTGAATGAATTTGGAGCTTATACAGATGAACACCCTTCATTATAACACCCAACAGTTTAACATCACCTTCTGTTTAATGGAATACATTCTCAAGCCCATCTCGACGAGTGTCATGCTCCCTTGAATGCCGCCTCTCATTCAGTCATGGACTACTTTTGAGAATTTCTGTCATGGCATCGCTTTGTAATGACACAGCTATAGTAATATATATATATATATTTTTTTTTTGGTCCACCATACGACTACAGACACCACAGTATGAAACTGTTTTTATTTTACTCTTGGGTGAATTAAACTTGTCCCAAAACAAAGCAGAACAAGTAACCTTCTATAGCAATTTGGGAGTGTTGGTTATTAGTTTGTGCAGTTAAGAAAGTCTGCTTAAGTTTGTACTGGAAAAAGTAAAGAGAGGTTCAGGATGAGAAATACAGAAAATGTTCTTGCATGAGGCCCATCATCATGTATAAGCTTCATCTTGTGGCTATCTGGGTTAACTTTATAATTATCTACACACCACACTGTGACTCTGTCTGTGCCTTTCCATCAAAGCATCTCAAGACAACATACTGATGACAGTAATGCCCACAGGCATTGTTAATGGCACTTTGAACTCTACTGCCTATGCTGACAACGCTACTTTTTAATATTTTTTTTTTTACAAAATGGGACCATTTGAACTTTTTTTTCCCCTCCCCTCAGATTTAACTTTTGCTATGGCTGCTCTTAAAGTAAAAGAGCCCCTGATGAGCCCCATCTTTGAGCCAGAGAATGGCCCTTTTTAGTATGCAGCCCTTTCCTCCCATGGCTCAAACCTGGGAGATAATGGTCCGACTGAGGACTTCAACTGAGGTCTGTCAGATTTACCACAAACAAATTAATCAAATTTCAGGTCTTGGAAACCTGAATGTAGGATCTGGGGGCATACTTTATTAGGATATTCCAATGTGGATACTCATGACTTTTGTGTCACCTTATTGAGGAGTATCAACACTGCACTTTTAAAATAAAGTGTTACTGATTTAGTTTTAAAGGAAAAAAATCATATCAAGTCTGATCTCTATAATCAATGAGGCAGCACGTGGTGTTTTAGCTCACCTCTGTCTCTAATCAGTTGAGGGTCTTAATTTCAATTTGGGAAGACTGAGTGGAGTTTCAGGGTGCTCGTCTGTGTATGTGCGTGTGTGACAGGGTCTAGCGATGATCCTCATGTGCCTTTGCCGAAGGGCCCGTCGTGCCGCTGATTGTGGTGACAGCTGAAACCGGAGTTGGTGGACTGATAGCCCGGTGATGCAGCCCCATTCTCCCTCTCAGACTTCTGACACTGTGGCAACTCTTTCTGGCACGGCTCCATGGTGACGGCCACGCCTACGCCGCTCCGTCCTGACGTCATGTGTGTCACCTCCGCCCAGGTGTCTTTCTCTGGGTCGTAGCACTCCACGCTGTCCAGGAAAGTGTTGCCATCATAACCTCCTGTAAACATAATGAGATTTTGTCCGATGAATATAGATTTGTTCGATTAAAACAATATTTCACCGATGTAGCATTGCACAAAATCTAGTGCCTATATTACCCACAAAGCAGTTCAACTGATGACAGTTGGGTCTGAGCTGAGGGAGTGTTATGCTACCAGCTGCTAATGTGGCTTCGAGCTGCTAGCCTCAAGAAGAGATAAGGAACTTCTTTTAAATTCTGCACCTCAGAATTTCTTTCATTTTCAAACTTGTACTTTATATCCCCAACCAACGCAGACTCAAGTGACATCAATATTTTATTAAATGAGTGAAAGTCTTTTCAGTTTCCCCTTTTTCATCTCTTATAAATAGGTTTCATGAACACATCTTTCTTTGCATGAAATTAAACTGAAAAACAAAAATGCCTCATTAATATTAATATTAACAAATATATGAAGTTAGTTGGCCACTGCCCAAATATCCAAAGTGAATGTGGTTTTATGAAACTATATGTTAGTGGCACTGTTTTTAGATAAAATAAAATAGGTTTGACAGCAAAACTACTCAATAATTACAGTGTAATCTATACAGTACTTAGTTTGGTGCTTTGACTCTAAACAGGCAGTTTCCAGTTACACCACTACTCACCCATTACATAAATGCGTCCATGTAATGCAGTGACTCCCAGAGCACTGCGTCGGTGCCTCATGGAGGCAGCAAAGCTCCACGTATCAGTTTCCACATCATAGCGCTCCACTGTGTTCAGCTGGTTGGTGCCATCGTAGCCGCCCATCACAAAGATGTGATTCCCCAGTGAGCACACACCTACAAAAGGGCCAAAGGTTAGTTTATTCAAGTGCTGGATTACTTTATCTAACTATGAGCACACAAGAAACCCTGCAAGCATACGCCTGAATGTGCAAAACACGTTTATGTTTTTGACCAAGTTTAAAGGTGAAAATGTTTGGAAAAAAAAAATGTTTTAAACTTGGTCAAAGTTTAAACATTTTAACAGCTTTGTGGTATGACACAGGGTGCAAGGTTTTCCAGCTGCAATCAGACCAATGACACTGCAGTTTGATCAAACTTGGCATGCATCTTAACCACGTAAACCCCCGTTTGATCTCAACAGCACAAATCAGTGGGCCTGTTGAAGCAGAGGACAAACCTTGCATCTATATTGAATGGAAACTTGCACGGCCAATTGAGAATTGCACAACTTTCCGAGATTGACGTTTTTCATTAGAAAAAAGCTTTCTATCTCTTCCTTACCGGCTCCGGAGCGCACGGTGTTCATGGGTGCCATGGTCTTCCACTCGTCCCTCTCAGGATTGTAACACTCACAGGAGCTGAGCCTGTTGGCCCCATCGAACCCTCCCACAGCATAAAGCAGCCGGTTGATGACTGCAACACCCACACCAATACGTCTTGTCAACATGGGGGCTACCAAGTGCCATTGGTCCCTTTCTGGATCATACCTGCAGAAGGAGAAAAACACATATTGATTTGTTTTATTGTTTTTACCTTCTATCTTTAGGGATTCTTCTTTGGTAAACCAAATTCCATGCACTCACACTGATAACCTGTGTAACAGACACCCCATTGAGGGCTGCGGACAGAAGCATGCTTCCTTTGTGACACATGATGTCAACTACTTCCTCTTTTCAGCTACCATTGATAAACAAGTCAGGAGTCGGTAGTACACCAACAAGTACAGAACCTTTGCCTAACCTCCCAACCACAACACAGCTAATTGTGTTTTCTGGGGTGCACAAAACAAACCAGAGGTCATATTACTGGGCATTGAACTATACTCTATTATATATACTCTATTTGGGTCAATTTTCAGCAAATGTTTTCTGTGATTCTACTACAGTGAGAAGTCACATCTTGTTCAATGAGTCATTACATTGGCATTCAGACTGGTTAGGCATGTTCCTTTTTCAGAGTCACTGTGGTGTGCCTGGTTAATATTTGCCACCTGACACTGCTCTGTCTGCGTCATCTGAGGACCAAAGTCACAGTTCAGGGGAATTCACATAATTCACTGTATTATAGAGAAATCTGTCAGGTCCACAGGTGCCACAGGTCCCTTTCTGGGTTTGAGTCATGCCTTTACTGTAGGACAAATAGAGTTAACACTTATTGGTGGGGCATGTTAATAGGGCTTAGTGCTAGAGCCTCCAGCCATTTATTGTTTATTAATAGTAATTCATGTTGTTGCCAGCTCACTATCAAGACTAACTGTTGAGAAGAAACTGAATAAAGACAAATGCCAGTTTCTACTTGTGAATTATAAACTGTGTGAAGGAGGGTGGGCAGTTAACTCAAGGTTTTCTTCTGAATATAATGAGACACTGGAATCGTCAGGCTGAGCATGAGGAAACAATAAAAACATTGCTATTCAATTTGTCACCATCTGTTTGTTTTCGTTTTTATTTTTATAACACAAAAATATTTCCCTGTAGTTTAAAGCTTCCTCATTGATGCTTTGTATAAACCAAAAATAGGTTGCAGGAAGTAGAACAAAACCAGTTAATTTCCAGGAAGTTACCTGATTCCTGCTCTTGGGGTACTCATTGACTCAATACAGTAAACGGCCCATAGCATAAACTGGACTTTAGTCAGATATAATATTGCTTACTTATTATGGATTCAATACACAGAAACGCAGACATATTGATCTCATATTAAATCTCAACTCAGTGGGATTTTGAAACAACCTGGCGCAAATCAAAACCCACCTGCAGCACACTGACAGCAGTTCTGTTGCAAGTTACAGGTTAAGGTTGGTGTTATATATTTTTATAATTAAGGTCACATTGACTATATTTTTCAGCATTGGATTTGGTCTCTTCGGGTGAATTGTTGAGGATAATAAAAAATACAGAGTAAGACCAGACTATTCCATTAAAAGCTCAATTTGCTTACCTTTCAACACTATTGTGATGAATGCAGCCATGAGATCCACCAACGGCATATATCATGCCATCGATGACACCAACTCCGATTCGGTTTCTGGGTACGCTCATTGGTGCACACGGAAGCCAGCAGTTGTTCATGGGATTGTAGCAGTCCAACGCATTTGAGTCCATGTTTCCATCAGGCGCGTTGTTTCTTCCACCAACAGCATAGAAAAGCCCACTGATCACACAGGCTGCAAGGCCACTCCGGGGCACCTGCAGGTCAGCTAGCCTCAGCCAGGCTCCTGTACAGGGATTATACGCCTCCAGGTAGCTGAGAGACTGACGGAAGTAACCCCCCGATGTGTAAATGAGCTGTGGCACCTTGGGTGTTCGACAAGAAATGACTTTGGTGGGTTTGTGGAGGGTGAGATCCTGGAAGATCTGAGCCAGGTAGTCTTTACACTGGGGGTCCCAGTCCAGAGACTGGAGCTGGGCCTGCAGGAAGTTGGGGGTGAGGGAATGGCAGCGGACAGCCTGGAGTAAGGCCTGGACATACGGTCTTCGGTTCTCCCGGTCATAGCGCACCCAGGCCACACACGCCTGGAAGACTTCGGACTCACAGCGCACGTTGAGCTCATCGCGGCTGATGAGGGTGACGAGCTGACAGTGGGATAAGTTGAAGAACTCCTCTTGGGTCGCTACCTAGGGACAACGAGTAGGGACAAAAAACTTTGAAAACTTTTTATACTAAAACGAATCCAAACAATGAATCAAGTGTCTATTAGTCATGAAAATATCAAGGATTTTTTTCATAATCAATTAGTCTAACGGTTATTTTCTCAATTAATCGATTGATCATTTCGCCTGTAAAATATCACAAACCTGAGAAAAATGTCAGTTTTCTTAAATCCAAGATGAGATTCGGATAGTTTGTTTTGTCTAAACAACAGCCCAAAACCCAAATATATTCAGTTTACAACCACATATGACCAAACAAAAAGCAGCAAATCCTCATCAGAGAGAAGCTGAAACCAGCAATTTTTTTGCTAAACAGTAACTGAAGACAGACTGTTTTAAATAATCTCATGCCAAGAAGAAAAAGATTCCTTTTGTGGGTCACTGTAAAGTTAACGTCAATTACATTATATATTTGTTTTTGAAAAATGCTTTTTTTAAATTACGTTTCCCTTAATCTTTTTTTATAAAAGCAGATGGAAACACCTCAATTTATTCACATGATGACTTTTTTTTTGTGGTTGTTTCTGGCTTGTGCATCTTATCAGGCATCAATATTGAATGTCCTTTCATTTTCTTTTATGCAGCATTGTACTTTTATCTTTTGCAGTCTGGTATGCTCCAACCACAGGTAAACCCTCATGTGACTCATAGCTTGCATTCTTGACAATCATTGCACAAGGGCAGGGACCAATTGTTAGCAGGTCTGAAACAGAAAAACTCAACCAGCAGAAACCACAACGGAACAAGTAAAACAGCATTTACTCGCACCATAAAACACCTTACACACAAAATCCCCTGCTACAACAATTACTAAAAAAAGGATGGCTCGGTTTCTTTTTTCAGTTATGAGCTGTGCAGATATATTTATAACTGTTTAAAATGTAAAAATATGAGTGATTATTCACTTTTAAAATTACATGTCCATTACTCCGGCTGCTCACACTTTTGAAATGAGCACAACACCGCGCTCAAATTAAGCGCACACAATAATTGTTATTCTGACTGGCAAAGACTGTACAGTAAGGAATAGCCACTAATTGGTACCATCAGAACTCATAGACAACTCATTTGCCGCTAAGTAACCATTATGCACCTGGCATGGCCCGACTGATGCAACTGAACACCAGGCAAGTTTCATCTAATGCTTCATGCTTTCAATATATAGTTCATGGGGCGTCCTGGTAGACTAATGTTCGAGACACATACCACATAACCACAGCGTGCCCCATCTGGGGACCTTTGTAGCATATCGAACTCCCCCGCTCTCTCTGCCCACATTTCCTGTCTGTTTTTACAATGTTGGCTATCAAATCTGCCAAAAAATAACTTAAAAAAACTGTTTATGATCACAGACAACAGACAGAGGTGCTCTCTCTACAAATTCTGCTCCAGATTTACCTGGCTAAAGTTCATGTAGATGTATTCGCGAGCCTTCTGGTGTAGCTCCGTGCAGCCAATCTGCTCAGCGAAGTTGGCGATTCCGATGGCGTTGCTGGGGTCGAGCTGCTGGACGAGGAAATCGCAGCAGGCCTTGACCACGCTGTCTATCTGGTACATGACAGCGCCGTTCATCACGTGAATCACACACTTCTCCCCTACGGAGATGCTGGCCGTGTAGGCAAACTCTATTAGTCGGTCCATAACCTGAATGAGTGAGAAGGAAAGAATGGAGGGGAAAGGTTGAGGTAGGGAAGATGTACAAAGACGGGGGGTGAGGAGGGATGGGATAAGGCAGCGCAGTGCACAGAGAGAAAAAGGAGGGAAAAAAAGGCTTGGTGCTATGTACTTCAGTGCCTAGTCATTTCTCTCCGGAAGGGACAAACAGATTGGAATCTTGTAATCTAACAAAAGGCTGATACTGTATCTATGTGTCTATCAGCATGGGCTTAGTAAACATCCAGGGTAAGTAAAAGACGTCAAACTTAGCGTACTCAGCCAAGGTTTACTGTACTTTTCCCTGTGTATAATTTAACACAGAGTAAGATCTTCATTTTAATGTCCAACTACCTTGATCCTGCAGAATTTTACTGATACGTGATCAGGTTTTTATTTCTCCTATTTGTAACATTATCTGTCTATGTATCAGTCTGATACTTGTATTGAGGTATAACCAAAAACAAGGGATATTACATTCAGAGCAATTAGAAACCTTGATTGCACACCAAACTACTGTGATAATTCAAATGTTTTTGAGAACATCTCCCATAAAACCCACTCCTGGTGCTGCAATGGCAAGAGGCTGAAACCTTTAACTTAAGCAGTGGTTTATGCTAGAAGAATAGTGGGTCTATCTATGGTAGTGTAAAAAAAACAAAACATTTTGGGCTGAAAAGCAATGTAGTACACATTGTGCCAATCCAACCTAATGTCACACATATAAAAATGCACCATTATGATCAGTATACACCTTCAAAACATTCATAACCTTGAAGACCTTGAATCGTGTTTGATGGTCTGTGTGTGGAATGAAAAACATTTGACAGCTGACTCACCCTGGGATGGATCCCCTCGATGGGCACCAACTCCATACCGCACTCCTTCAGCCCGTTGGTGAACATGGCCCTGAAGACTGGGGATGAGGAGGCCAACACCACCTTGTGAGCCACGAAGTCCACCGCCTCCAGGTCTTTGTAGCGCACACGCAGCGTCACATCGCACAGCTGACGCTCCAGACGCAGCTCGTTCATGATGGCAAAGGCGGCTGCCGTGTGACTCTCTAGTGTGTAGCTGAAGACGCGGTGGCCATTGCGCGTGGACGGAGTCACCAGCGCTTTGCATTCTGTCAGGCACTCTGTCATTTCCTACCCGTTCTCCTCCTCCTTACTCGCTTTCTCAAGAACAGCGGGCGGTGTTTTGGGGCATCCTTGCACCAGGCGCAGGCATCGGTAAAATAAGAGTTTGAACTGAAAGTTGGCAGACGACTCTGCAGAAGGCTCCTGGCTCTCCTGGGTTTTTGTGGAAGAGTTTAAGTTTGTTTTATACGTACATGAGGATTTCCTTGCTCTGTTCAGTACTTGAGTCCAGCCATATTGCTCATTATGGCATTACTAAAGACTTGTGTGTGAGCTGCCAGTCATGGCTGGTGGCACTTTTACATGTTGCAGTTCCAACATAATTAAAATGTCTTGAGTTCGGGATGGATTCCTCTGCCTTAGCCCGTGGGTTGTCTTTGCAGAACAAAGTGAAAGAATAATAAACTGAACAAGTAAAAAACTCAAAGGGATCTTAATCCAGCTGTTTGTTGGTGTTGGGTTGATCTACAGAAACGTGTCAATCTGTCCTGACAAAGAAAGCAGTCTGTCTCTTGTCTAGGGGATCATCTTTTTGGAGTTTCTTTTGGCAAATTAACTTAAATGCTTGTGAGATTCACCATGCGCACAGGTCAGTCTTGCATACCGATTATTCAAGAGAAAGAGAAAAAAAGTCAGATTTACTGCTTCATTTTTAAGAGGTAATAATTAAAGCTCCCTTCAGGGGGCTGCAGTTGTGGTGAGAGCTGAGGCAGATACTGTAGATGAGCCAGTAGAAGCCTTGTCGACTCTAAAGAGGGAAAAAAAAAAAACACAGTAGAGTGCCAAAAGTGTCATAAGCGTAACTTGGAGCCCTTGGGAATGGGGGAGGAGGGGTGGGTTCGGTGGCTTTCTCCGGAGACTCTTCCTAGAGGTTGCCCAGCTAAGGAATGTGTTTACACTGCTGTGTTCACTAAGAAGCCGTCGGATCAGCTGACAACTGGGAAAGAAGAGGGAGAGAGACAGTGAGAATGTATGCATATACAGCGGTCACATACTTTCACTAAGGCATTGAAACAGTTTATAACTCAAGTTGTCTCAGCATCAGTTGCTATCTTCCAGCTTACACAACAAAACTTTATCTACGCAAAGGGACACTGTGCTCCATCCGTCATCGTGCCTTTCACACCCATGGTGCACTCTTCCTGGAGCAGTTCAGTAGGGTCAAAGCCTCCTCCTTTGCATGATGAGTACGCTACTTTTAGCATATACCTCATTTAACCCCCACCCACCCTCCAGCTCCTGTCATCTTTGGTTATAGGCGCCTCTGATAAGAAGAATATTCAATTTCACCTCCCCCAACATGTGAAGCTTACTTCCACATCTAAAACCTAAGACTGCTAAGGAGTCTTCAAATACTAGCAAAAAATTGACAAATAAGAAACATGTGAATGAGTGCGTAAGGAACAGAGGAGGATGGAGTGACTTAAATTAAGTCTGAATTTAGCTGGCCAGCATGACTGAGTGTTTTTACTCAGTCCTGTGACCAGCCCAGCGGAGGGTTGGAACAGAGGGGACGGTTTGTGCACCATCCAACAGAAGCACACTCTTACTTATTCTTCCTAACAACAGACACACGCAGGGTGTTTGTACACAAGCATGTAACAATTAAAGCACAAATTAGCCCCCAAAAATCTTTCAATCACAATCACAGACTACTTTACTTTAAGAAGTTCCAAGAAATTACACTGCAGTAAGCAAGAGGCGGCCATGCAGACTGATTTGGAAATGAATACGTCTTTTGGGAATATATGGGCTCTGGTCCACACCATTAAAATGACCTCGAGAGAGAATAACGCCTCTTCTTTCCGTCAATGTAACTTCTTCTTCTGAGAACATGAACTGCCCGTAACAGCGACATACAGTACAAAGAGCAGTCTAATCGTCTGCCTGGTGTTCTCTGATCAGAGTTACTCAGCAGCCATGTGAGTGTACATCAGAGTTAGGTTGTGCAAACACACATCAGTACCTGAAGATGTGATAGGAGTGAACAGGTTATATGGCCTTGCCGCGTCTAATTCTGAAAGTAGGTTATTGCGTCCTGCTCTTGAAGAAGTTTAGATTAGATAAAGCAATCGAAACATTTATGATGTCTAGGCATTTTAAATTTTATAAACAGATGGTGACACGTCAGTGGCCACCATGGAGGTCATCACGAGGGCAGCCAGCCAGCGCTTAATCCCAATGTAATATGAAACACATTGTGATTCTGATTTACTGCTGTGCTTTTCTCCCTCCAGGTTTCTGAGTAAAATAGTTTCGCTGGAAAACATATTATTGCTCAACTCGCTCGCTCTCCAAGGCAGACAAAGTGCTCGCTGACAGACGGGCTCCCCGGGTCTACGCTTGGACCTACTGCATCTCTCTGTAGTTTGTTCAGTTGATATACACAGTCGTTGTTCTCAGGTATGACATTAAAGGCTGATTGTCATCAGAAATGAGAGCAGATGTTCTTGTTTTTTTAAACCGCCAAGTTGAACGAACAAGCAGTGCAGCACAGGAGAGTATAGTTTGGTCAAAACTACCTCGGAGTTCGTTGTTGAATATAACTCCATTAGAGCAAAACGATTTTACGGTTTAATGGCTGACAGAAAATGTGTCCAGTCTGATAATTGGTCCATTCTTTAAATCACTTTCCAAGCAGATTTGGCTGGTTTCAGCTGATTTTCTGCTTCTATGGTGGTAAATGGACTTTCTTTGTGATTTCAGCCTTATCTTTTGACCACAATAAGCTACCTCGAGGCATTATTGGCTCTGGGAAATCATAAATTCAGACATTTTATAAACCAAAGGATTATGGCTGCAACTAATAACACCTACTTAATAATACTCTACTATCTATTCTAGGTTTACCTGCTGATTTTGCTTATAGATATCCCGATTTCCCCTCGGGATATCTATCTATCTATCTATCTATCTATCTATCTATCTATCTGATTATTGCCTCTATTTAAAAAATAACTTTACACCACATTAGATTCAAAGTGCTGAGTGCTATGAACCCCACACTATCTCAGTGTTGAGGGATGAGATTTAACTATCCCCCCTCCTCTCAGTACTTGTGTACCACCTTCAAGGACCCCCTGATGGACCCTATACCCCAGTTTGGGAACCACAGCTCAGGCCTGCAATCCTCGGATGCCACTCTGAAAGGGATTGCACAATAACTGGAGGTGATTCGCACTTTAAAGTTAAATCGGACTTAATAAACAAACACGGCCGTGTAACGTTTCACTTCCACGGGCATTTTGGCAGCGAAGCTTTCCTCGGTGACTCATCCTGAACTCGAGCAAACAGTGGAACTGACTGTACCAAAACATGACCCAGGAGTGAAGCCAGTTCTTACATAAACCCACATACACTAAACATCTCCCAAACATTACACAGCTTTCTTTTCTTATATATATTCTCCACACAAAGCACCGTTTCCAGCTCCGGGTCCGATCATTAACGCTGATCATGTTCTGCGCTTGTTTTTGATCAGAAATAATCCACAGCGCAGGCATGCACCGACAATACGGCTTCACACAGGTGGAGAATGATCGATCAAACCCCTCTGTTTGGGTTTGGGACGGACGTGAAGTGTACGTATCCATGACAAACAGTCCGAGACACCGCAAATAACCAGTTAAACGTTTCGGAAATAGAGCTGACAGCAACATAGGCTCCTAATAATAGACAGTAGCGACTGTGAGCCGATCCGAGCACACAGATGGAAACAAAAGCGTTACCGAAACAATATTCCCTACAGCTATCGATCTCCTCGCGTTCAAACCTCACCCGCATCGCAGTTTGTATTGATTATTGCTAATAGCGCTGAGTGTGTAATAAAAAGAAACTCACGTAGTCTAGTTCAATACCTCCATCGCGGTCTCCCGAGCTGTGCGCCACATAGGAAGGAGGGGGGGGAAGCTGTAACTCACCGTGACTAAGCATTGTACCGGCCTCCTCCCGCTTTCACAATAAGAGTCCGCCTCCAGTGCGCGCACCCGCCTCCGTTGACGGGCAATGGCAGTGAAACGCGTCCCGAGGGAGGGGGCTTTTATTGAGAAGGAGTTGTCAGAGTGAAGGAAAAGCGAGGCCAATAGTTGGCAAAGTGCCCAAAAAAACTGCAGCTTTAACGTTAATCAGATCTGTTAGAAATCATGCAAATACCAAGATAAACCTGTCACATATGTCCACTGCACTTTGTAAGCAGTTGTAAAGGATATTACGTAACGGTAAGTAAAAGTGAACCTTAAGTACAAGTAGGCTGTAAAGACAATGACATAAAATCTGTCACTGTAAAGCAGTGTGACTGCATTGTGAAATTTCCAACAGGAAATTGCTAAAATGCTATTGTTTAATGACGTTAAATGAAACATAATGGTGCTCAGGAGACATAGCTATAATAGCCCATAATTGCCCCATAACCCAAATTGCTTTCTCATATGTATGTGTAACTCACCTTGCTTTTCAAGGTTCCTTCTCCCCCCAAAAATCCATGTTTGTGAATGGCTCCTACAGCACCCAGAGAACTCTGCTCGCTCCAGGCAGGTGCTGACACACCAGTAAGTTTTTCCCCCTCTTGGAAAATACGTAATTCAGGTCAATATAGTGGACAGCACAGTGTGTTCTGGATAGCAGCCACAAGGTGGCCCCAAAAGCCAACTGTGACACTGCAGGCGCAAAGAAAATACATTACCTTTGTCAAATGACTTTTAATTATTTGGAAATGTGCTGCCATTAATTATATAGTAGAAAAATAATTGAGCTTTGCTGAGCCCCGTAGCCAGAATTCACAGCTGATTAAATGAAATATTTCATGCTGAGATTAAATCTCTGCTCCCTCAGGGTCACTGAAATCGATGATGAAGCATCAACAGTCATGAAAAAATCTTTGATATGATAAGACAAGTCTTGAATCAGCGATGACTCTGCCCCTCACCCTGGGTATAGTTCCAGTCAGAGGAATTAGGTGAGGTTACTGTTGGGGCAACAAATGCACACTCCTAGACAAGCGCCATTGTGTCTGTCTGCTCGTTCTGCATCTGAAATTAAATCTGCACTTACAGACTGCTCTAAGATCAATTTTATGATTTACTTTTCCACGTCTTCTATTTATTAGCTGCAAATGTCACTACTCTTATTTTTCCCCAAAGCGCTTCTGAGGTAAAGAGCAGTACATCTGTAATACACGCCTGTTTTTGGGACTGTCCTCCGTGATTAGGAAGGATGACTTATGACTTCTACCTGTCCACTTTGTTGTATGATTTCAGCAGCAGGAAGGAAGCTGGGGGCCAGGAAAGATTCCCTGATTTGTTGACCTCTGTCAGCAGGCTCAGTGCTGGTGGATACAGCCAACATCTGGAGGAACAACTACACCCATACAAATCATATCAAAGGTATCCCAGTGCCATGTGGTACTTTTTGTTGTAGATAAGTATGTCTTTGGGTCACTGAAGCTTGAATCAAAAGGGAAACAACTACATAGTTTGTCAGGCTGTCTGTTTGGTATCACTAGACTTTGTTTGGATAAAGCTGATTTATGTGTTGCTAACAGTTTCCTTTGAGAGGTGTGAAAGTATACTTACGCTTTAACGCTTAATAGGTTCCTTGAAATAGGCTATCTGCTAAAGCTAAAAATACGTGCCTAGTCATACCACACTTGATGTTTAGAGTAAGAGAACTTTGTAACATTAAAAATGTTTAGGGTTAAAGGAGGACCACCAAACAGTGGCAATAGTCCAGCACTTGTGGTTGCAAAATAACAAATCAGATTAAGACTTCATTTAAAATTTGTCAATCTTGGAATTTGTGGCATTCATAATAATCATGCTACAAAGCTTAAATGTATGAGCCCAAATGCCAAATAAAAGCCACAGATATTTCTCGTGAACTAAGCCCCATCAAACAACAATGTCTTTTTCCTCCCTGGGTATTGTAGAGAAATACACAAACTGAATTAACAGCCTGTTGAGTTTGTCGTGTCTACAGGAGAGAGAGCGCCCAGGAAACAACATTGAAGCCAGCTGCATATGATCTCTCTCCGTCTCAGCCGTGACAAGTGTGGACAGCAGGTCACAGTGAGGTGAGGGCCAATCCTACTCACAGGTTGACAGGATAGGGAAAAAGAAAAAAATAGTGTCCAGTGTTTAAAATAAAAGGTGCATTGTGTGGCGCTGGAGCCGTCCTGAGACACGCACAGCTTGTAGAAGAACACTGTATCTAGGCCAATGTCATTACCAGATGTGAGAGTAAGGGGGCTGACTTCCTGTAGTGCTTCTTCTAGAGTTGTTCTTCCACTCACACATCAGCTACACAAAAAGAAATACACACAGATATGCTTACTATATATATATATATATGACTGCACTGTTACAGTGCACACACGGTCAAAGTAAACCAAAAACTCTTTGAATATTTTAAGAAAACATTTTATTTCTTTTATGAAAAGAAAGGTAAAGGTTTGATAGCCTTTTCTTGATACAAAATAGATATAATTTACAATACAGATGATATGAAGTTCACTACATGAATTACAGTACAAAAAAAACACACTGCCTCTTTCATCAATAAAGATCCAGAGAGACTGCACTAAAAAATATCTGTATAAAAAGACTGATGCTCGTTTCATAATAAGAAAAATTCAGTACCTCAAACTATAACCGAAAATATTCTGTTAACATGATGGATAGTAAGGGAATACTGGAATAATTGCACTCATTCCGCATGATTTAGCTTACAAGTGCAGGCACATTCTTGTCCTTAAAAGTCCTGATGCAGCTGGATGCATTACATCTCCAACTTTATTTGCAAGGTGAAATATAAATGCAGTTGCAGCTGATTTGGTTTCAGTCAGAGTTATACTATCAGCATGTCATGATGGAAAGAAAGCGTTTCTTTTGTGGCCAGGTTGTAGTCTTTCTTTGACAATTTTCTGGCAGTCTGACATTTAAAAAGAATCGGACACAAACCCCAACAACTTTCCACTCTGCATCTGATAAGTTAACCATCTGTCATTTCAGAACAGTGGGGGATTTTAATTGAGTGCCTCCCTCTCACAACTATACCACAGCATTCTTCACGTAGCTGTGTTTGTAAGAACAGCTAAGGCTGAGTGCCACCTCTCTCTTGCCTGTTATCTTTCTACCTCCCTGTAACTCTATCTTCATCACCTGCACAGATATGTGTAGGGTGCTTTACACTGTTATCTGATTAAATTGAACACCATGGGGCTTTCGAACCAGCGAAATCCAGGTGCCTGCAGGTGCACAGATTGCAAACTGCACATATTAGATGTGCTCGGGCTGTGTTTAAGGCACTTCAGTAAAGGGGTAAAGCCAACCACACTCTTTCACAATTAACCCAAGAAGTCTGAGAGGGAATTAAACATCTTTTTACTCACAAGAGTCTTTGGGTTTCGACACTAACTACAGAACCACCAGAAAATTCAATCCAAAGCTACTTCTCCATTCATTGTGATATTTCAGTGCAAATTAGTTAAGGAGACTCATCACCAGCATCTACTCATAAAAGTCTGTTTGCTTGTTCACATTTCAGTGGCATCCTTATGGCTTTTCGTTCTTTCATGTGATTATACTTCTGTAACTGCACCACGTCTTACTTGTCAAGGTGAGACATTCATCTAAATGTAAGTCTCTTGTACCTCTATAATATTTCATACACCCTCTGTGAACTGCATTATCTCTATAGAAGATGTGCTACATGTCCTATGTTCAGTGGGAAACCCATTCACACACTTATGGACTCAATCAGTCAGTATTAGTCCTTATGACTTAAAAAGTTTAGGGTAAAGGGCCTTAATAGGAGATGGGGTGGTGATAACGTTCCCAGAGGAAATGGTTGTCTCAGGTCCCCCCTCTAGCTTCTGGGATGCCACCTCCGTTTTACTGAAACTGCACTCCAGGAATGGCATCCCGATCTTCTTCACCTGGCCATCTCTGGTCATCAGACACGGCCGACAGAGCAGCCTCAGAATGGCTCTCCTCATGTCCTTACTGGTCAGAGTGTAGATGATGGGGTTGAGGAGCGAGTTGACCATGGCTACTCCCAGGAAGTAATCAGCTTTGTAGAGCAAGCGACAACTGCGGGAGGGGCAGAAAAAATCCAGCAGAAGGAGGAAGAAGAGGGGTAGCCAACAGGCGATGAAGACTCCAAGCACAATGGTAACTGTCTTGAGGAGGGCGATGTACTTCTGTGACTTCCTCGCTAAGCCCTTCCTCATACTGCCTGACAGGCCCAGCCGCTGGCGCTGCGTGTTGGTGCGGACAATGCGAAAAACTCTGGCGTAAAGGACCACAATGGCCAGAAGCACTGCAATGAACACAGACACGCAGAAAAGAATGTAGCTCTTGGCATAAAGTGGGAGGACTATTGAACACTGATCCAGTCTGTAGATGCAGTTCCATCCCAAAATTGGGAGGACCCCCAAAAACCCTGCCAGGGCCCAACTTGCAGCAATCAGTGCCAACATCCTTCCCCGCTTTGCCCCATGGTATGGCCTCATAGTCACCATAGTTACATGGCGTTCAATTGCAATTGCCAGCAGACTAATTACAGAGGCAGCCAGAGTGATGAAGACCCCTCCCTCCCTGAGAAACCATAGCAGTGGCGTTAGTTTCAAACTATTAGGTCCAGACATGATGATATTGGCCATATATGTAATCCCAGCCAGCAGATCAGACAGAGTCAGGTTTCCCAGCAGGTAATACATGGGCAGGTGGAACTTCTTGTTCCTCCAAATGGCGATGAGAACCACAGCGTTCTCCAGGACAATGAGGAGACACACCACCAGAAATGCAATGGACACAGGTTTGAGCCCTTCACGATAGCGGTCAGTCTGCAGCTTGCCGGTGTAATTGTAATGCTCCACAAGGACAGAATTGTGCTGGTATTCCCAGAAGAACTGCAAGAAGCCGGGAGTGGAGGGAGTAGGGGAGGTGGGGAATATGGGTGTAGAGGGGGGAGTC